TTTTTTTTTTTTTTTTTTTTTTTTTTTTTTTTTTTTTTTAACTTACCCATGAATGTTAGTGTATATGGACGTATATGCAACCTCGAAGGAGCAGGGTGGCGCCTGGTATGCTCTTAGATGAATTTTGGAATCACCGAGATCTCTAGGTTTGATTTTCCTTTGTTTTTTTTTTTTTTTTTTTTTTTCCCCAGCTCCTCCCCTTGTCGAAGTGAACGAACCAAGTAGTACATTAAGGCAAGATTCATCCGGTGTTTAAACTATCACTCCCTTTGACAGGAGAAAATTGCGCCTACCGGTATTTCGAATTTTCAAAACCACGTCTGGACTACCGGTAGGCGCAATGAACTACCTGGTGTCCCATTTGCCTAGTCCCTGTCGGCGGGCCCAGCCTTGCAGAAAGTATGTTTTTTTTTTGTTTTTTTTTTTGGAATTTGAAAGTGCGAGAAAAAAAAATGAAAACAAAAAAAACGAATGGACTGTCGGATCCCTGCCAGAGGCCGCGGCCGTTACAACATCCTCCACAATAGAGGATAAGATTACGGTCCGACGAAACACGGGCAAGGATTTTTTTTATTGGAGTTCGGTCTGAATCTGGACGTGTGCTGCGGAGGGATGCAGAAAAGCAGATCAATCATTTTTTTCTGCGCCAGTAGGTCCAGATTCGGCTTCATCGTCTACACCCACCCCCACCCTCCCCCCACTGTCCTTCATTGGGCATCACTGCACTTCTCTCGACATGCACAAAAGACAAAATGTGTTGGAGGGGGCGTATCTCGCCATGTATCTAGCAAAGATTCGCTCTCGTTTTGCATATTTCAAGAGTAGTGCAGCGAGGCCCATTATCTTCATCTTCCCGACGTCGATGTGCTGTAGCAAGGCCCATTATCTTCTTCCTCCCGATGTCGACGTGCTGCAGACGTCCGTTACAGGGGACCACAACGATCGTCATCCGATATTTGGTGTCAGGGATGGTCGCGACGATGGCAGATCCCGTGAAGAACTCGTGGTGGTTTCTCTTCACAGCAATAAACCATCGCCACGACCTCTCGCCCATCACGTGATGACTGCAACCCCCCCCC